CAATGACTCCCTCCTCCCACTCTCCCTCTCCCCCACTCCTTGTGAGGTTTCAGTCCAAGTTCTGGCTGTTTCATCTTTCAGGATGTCTTCCCATGTGTCCCGGCGGCAGTGGGAATGTTTGTCTCATATAGAATATTCTCAATGGAACTTCAGCTACATCTTGTCTGCCTCCCTGCTCTGTGCCCACCACGCAAATCAAAGGCAGCCAAACCACATCACAAATCCAGCAACACAATCTCACCCACCGGGGCATACACACATACACAAAAACTTGAATGCTTCAGGAGCCTAATAAGACAATACACACTAGTGGAGTATCGGACCAGGGTAAGAGACAGCAAAGAGAAACAGGCTCTGATGAAACACAGGCTTACTGGCCACAGCCTGGACACAGAAACTGGACACAGAGAGACCTGACTGTTCAGAGAGGACAGGCTTACTGACCGCAGCCCGGCCATAGAAACTGTACACAGAAATACCTGACGGTCCAGAGACAGGAGAATTCTTATAATTTAGGGCATACAAACGCCACACAGATAGCACCCCAGGTCCAGAACTGAACCTGATACTAATAAAAATAATTAAAGTGAATACTGTCACAGAGTTGCTGAGTAGTATGTCTAATTTGAAGGATCTGAGTTGTGGCATGTGAGAAAATAGTAATACAGTACATCAGAGGCAGATTAGTACAAATAAATGAATTATTAATTAACAAGACAATGACACTAAACAAAATGACAAACCCCAAAAAATCATCTACATCTATTGCACACATATAACCTACTAAAGTCACTCTATGTACAGAACAAGGAGCCTTACACAGCTACAATCCACAGACCTAAACAAACAAGACTGCTAACCCTATAATCTAAATTCCTCAACAAGTGAACAGGACAAGTACACTGCACTCTAAATAGACAGCATATAGGCCAGCAATAAATCTCCCTTCCTATAACCTGGACACCCAAAACCAAATGAGAATCTACAGTATCATTACAGTAGGTAATGTGATTAAAGATAAAACTCTTTAGCTCCAGGATTCCATAATAAAGAAACGGGAATTTCCTCAAATAAAGGATGGTCAGCTCTCTAAAACAAGGTTCAGATTACCCCTGGTCTCAGAGACCGACGAGAACGAGGTCCTCTCACCTGGCAGACCTCGTCTCTCTTCCTCTTGCTGCAGTCTGGGAATCCTGTGCTTTCAGCACTGTGATTTTGTGGGTTGATTTGTAGCAATTTACAAAGCAGTTCAAGAACTGCAGAGGTAACTAGAAGATGCTATTTGATCCTCTGGGTTTAGCAGCCTGTAACCTCAGCAGCAACAGAACAAACTTGAACTGCATGATTTCAAATTTGATGATACCTCTCCAGCTGAACTATTATTGTAACTTAAATCCTTCAAATTAGACATACTACATAGTATTTATGTGACAGTGTGCACTTATTATTATTATTATTATTATTATTATTATTACAGCACCAGAGAAGTTTGTATTGACACCCTGGCATGAACGCCAACATACAGCACAACTAAAGATCACCTATTGAACACCAACACACAACCCACCAATAGACAACCTACTGAGCCCAGCACATGCAACCCACCTAAGAACAATCTACCTGTCACTAACAGACAACTTACTGATAGACAGTCCTGTGTACACTGACCCACAGTGACACACAAACCAGTCTACGCCTTTCTC